TATTATTAAAAGATAGTGGTCACCTTAGCTGGTTTTGCTCAGTGGATAGAGTGTCGGCCTGCGGATTGAAGGGTCCCGGGTTTGATTCCAGTCAAGGGCACATACCTGGATTATGGGCTCGATCCCCAGTGTGGGTGTGTAGGAGGCAGCCAATCAATGATTCTCTATCATTATTGATGTTTCTAACTCTCTCTCTCCCTCTCCCTTCCTCTCTGAAATCAATAAAAATTAATTAAACAAAATAAACTGAAAAAAATATTTTAAAAAAAGAGGATATTGCTCAGTAACTGTGATGTCTTTACCTTGTGATGTTTTTGTATTAGAATAATACTAGCCTCATAGAATGAGCTGGGAAGTGTTCCATTCTCTTCTATTTTGGGGGAAAAGTTTGTGAAAAATTAGTACTAATTCTTCTTTTGAATATTTGGTAGAATTCACCAACCAAGCCATCTGGGTCTGGGCTTTTCTTGTGGGTATTTTTTTTCTAAAATATTTTATTTCAGAGAGGAAGGGAGAGGGAGAGCAAGAAACATCAATGATGAGAGAGAAACATTGACTGGCTGCCTCCTGCACAACCCCTACTGGGGATCAAGCCCGTAACCCAGGTATGTGCCCTGACCCAAGACCGGGAATCAAACAGTAATCTCCTGTTTCATAGGTTACTCAAACCCTGAGCCACGCTGGTCAGCTCTGTGGGTATTTTTTTAAAAAAATATATTTTATTGATTTTTCACAGAGAGGAAAGGAGAGGGATAGAGAGTTAGAAACATCAATGAGAGAGGAACACCGATCAGCTGCCTCCTGCACACCTCCTAACTGGGGATGGCCCACAACCAAGGTTCATGCCCTTGGCCGGAATCAAACCTGGGACCTTTCAGTCCGCAGGCTGACGCTCTATCCACTGAGCCAAACCGGTTAGGGCTCTTGTGGGTATTTTTAAAATACTAATTCAATTCTCTATTTGTTATAGGTCTATTCAGATTTATATTCCTTATTTTTAATATGTATTTTTTTTTATTTTAGAGAAGAAGGGAGAGGGAGAGATAGAAACATCAAGGATGAGAGAGAATCATTGATCGGCTGCCTCCTGCATGCCCCCACTGGGGATCGAGCCAGCAACCCGGCATGTACCCTGACCCGAGACCGGGAATCAAACGGTGAACTTCTGGTTCATAGGTCGATCTCAATCACTAAGCCATGCTGGCAGGGCTTATATTCTTCCTTAAGTCAGTTTTGGTAGTTTGTGTCTTTCCAGAAATTTATATAATCAAAATTATCTAATTTATTGGCATATAATCATTCAGAGCATTCCCTCATAGTTCTTTATGTCTCTAAGGTTGCTAGTAATGTCCCTCTTTCATTCCTGATTTTAATAAGGAGTCTTCTTTTTTTATTTTGGTAAAACTAAAGGCTTGCCAATTTTATCAGGTTTTTTTTTATTTTGTTTTTTAAAAAACAACTTTTGGTTTTATTGCTTCAAGTATTTTGCTCTTGTGTCATTTAGGTGCAAGTACATTAAATATTGCTCCCGTGGAGAATTGACTTCTTTATCCTTCTTTATCCCTGACAGTTTCCTTGCTCTGAAGACTGATTTGACTGAAATTAAATACTTATTGCTCCCTTCCCCCTCCCTTTTTTCTCCCTTCCTTCCTTTTCTTCCTTCTTTTCTTTCTTCAGTCATGTCTGCTCTATTGATGACCCCATCAAAGGCATTCTTCATTTCTGATAGCGTTTTTAATTTCTAGAATTTCCTTTTTATTCTCAAAACATCAATCTCTCTGCTTATATTTCCCAACTGTTGTTGCATATTGTGTACTTTTGCCATTAGAGCTCTAAGCTCTATTCATCAGTGATTTTAAATTCTCAGTCTGATAATCCCAACATCCCTGCCATCTATGAATGATTCTAATGCTTGCTTTGTTTCAAACAGTGCTTCTTCTTTTAGTATGCCTTGTAGTTTTTGTTGTTGAGTTGGACATGATACCCGCTGGACTTGAATGACATAGCACTAATGTGGACAGGGGAACATTCTATGGTCTTACGATTAGGTCCCAGTCTTTTAGTGATCATGGGCCCCTGAGATGGACTTTCACAACTGCTTCTCAGTCCCCACTCCCATTTAGGTGAGACAGGAAGGCTAGAGGGGGCTGGAGTTGGGTATTTCCCTTACCCCATTTGGTTAGGTTCTGGTAAAACCCAGTGTGATTTGGCTCTAGCGAAACAGTTTCCTTTGAGGCCAGGCTTTTGTTCAAGAGAACAGAATTCGGGGAGTGGGCATATTTCTGAATGACTACTTTCCCCTTCCAGCTGAAAACACAAGGACACTTTTCTCTGATAGTCACTGTGAGAAGCTGGTGGGTTCCAGGAAGTAAAACTCACAAAAGTGTACCCCCAGCCTGGTCCCTAGTAATGAGTTAATTACCCTTTAAATTATTCCCAGTGGTGGTTTCCCCTCCAGTAAAGTGTGATTTTCTGTATTTGCCTCAAGTGTTCAGAGTGGGGTTTGTGTTTTTTTTTGTCTTGTGACCTGTTATTTCATGGACTAAAGAATAGTCATGGATTTTGTTTTTCAGCTTTTTTTCTCTGTTAGGATTGGAGTTATGATTTCCAAGGTTCCTATAATGTTGAACTGGAAACCAGAAATCTCCTATTTTGTTTTTTAAGAAACTGCCAAAACATTTTCCAGACTGGTTATACCATTTATCATACCAGCAATGTGTGAGATCTAGTTTCCCCACATCCTTGTCAGCATTTGGTATTGTTGGTTTTTTTAATTTTAGCTGTTCTAACAGATGTGTAGCTATTTATCAATGGAAGCTAAATTTGTATTTCCCCAATGGCTAGCAATGTCAAACATTCTTTTCATGAGTTTATTTGCCATCCATATATCTTCTTCAGTAAAATGTCTCTGTCTTTTGCCCATTTTCTAATTGGATTGTTTGCTTTCTTTTTAACTGTTTCATTTTCAGAGTTCTTTATATATATCCTAGATATGCATCTTTTGCCAGATATGTGGCTTACAATATTTCCTCACTCTTAAGATTGGCTTTTCATCCTTCCAACAGGGTTTCTGGAAAGCAAAAGTTTTTAATTTGATGAAGTGTCCAATTTTTCAAGTTTTTCTTTTATGAACTAAAATAATAACTTTATTTTTCCTAAAAGTTTTATGTTTAAACTAGAGGCACAGTGCACGAATTCATGCACAGGTGGGGTCCCTTGGCCTGGCCGGCGATCGGGGCTGATCAGGGCCATATGGCCAGGGAGGGACTGAGGGAGAGCTCCAGGGCATGTCTGACCCTCTCTCCCAGTCCTGATCAGCCAGACCCTAGCAGCAAGCTAACCTACCAGTTGGAGCATCTGCCCCCTGGGGGTCAGTGTGTGTCATAGCAACTGGTCTAGCGGTCGATCAAACGGTTGACCAATCGGTCAGACACTTAGCAAATTACACTTTTATTATACTCAAGGCCCAGTGCACGAATTCGGGTGGGGTCCAGCCGGTCTGCTCTGATCGGGGCCAATTGGGCTGGGCCAGCCGGCAGGAGGGGATGCGGGAGGTTGGCCGACCAGCCCCACCCCCAATCAGGGTGAGGGGAGCCAATTGAAAGTGGGGCTGGCCAGGGGGAGGGGCTGCAAGCAGTTGGCTAGCCGGCCCCGCCCCCTGGTTGAACTCCCAGTCAAACTCCCGAGGAGACAATTTGCATATTAGCCTTGATTATATAGAATAGGATTTAAATCTGATGCATTTGGAGTTAGTTTTTGTACAAGAAGTGAAGCTTAAGTAGAGGTTTAGTTTTGTTTTGTTTTTGCCTATGAAACTCAATTACTCCCTCAGATAATTAAGTCTTATAAGTCATCTCTACCACAAATTATTCACTAGGTAATCAGCTTGCTTTGCTTTTTGCTAACACTAACCCACTGAAAACAGGGATTTTTGTTATTATTAATCCTCAGCTGAGGATATTTTTCCATTGCTTTTTAGAGAGATTGGAAGGGAGAGAAGGAGAGTGGGAGAGAGAGAGAAACATCGATGTGAGAGGGACACATTGATTGGTTGCCTCCTGCATACACCCCATCCAGGGCTGGGGATCGAACCTGCAACCCAGGTACATACCCTTGACCAGTAATTGAACCCACAACCCTTCAGTGTGCAGGCTGACACTAACCATTGAGCCACATCGACCAAGGCGGCAGAAGGGATTTTTATTGGGGAAGAGGTGGGTGGATTTATAATTTTTTTGGCAATTATGTAGGGAAACAAGGCTAACAAAAAGAAAACTGAGTACAAAAAAAAAACCCTAACTTTCCTCAATTCTACCCTTTGCCTAGTGTTTAGATCATAGCAAATGCTGACCCTGGCCAGGTAGCTCAGTTAGTTAGAGCATTTTCCCAACATGCCAAGGTTGTGGGTACAATCCCCATTCAGGGCACATACCAGAAGCAACTAATGAATGCATAAATAATTGGAACAACAAATCCATGTTTTTCTGTCTTTCTCCCTCTCTCCTGTCCGCCCCCCCTCAAGTCAATAAAAAATAAAATTAAAATAAAATAGATCATAGCAAACACCAAGTTAAAAAAAAAACTATAATAATTTGCATGTAATCATGTTACGGCATACCTTAAATCAGTGTTTCTCAAACTATAGTCATCTGTGGATTATCTGAATAAATTTGCCATACTGCATATAATATGCAATACTTCATGACTTCTGTTTTAACCAGGAACAATATAATTGTATTAACACGTATTGATGGTATCAATACAATCATTAAGTGATGCTTTGGAGACTGATTAAGCACACCATGTAAGGTACTAGAAATAAAAACAAGATTCTTATCAATACTACTTTCCTACATAGGTTTAACATACAGTATTACTATGAGAATTTAAATCCAGACCTACTGTTCTCATAAGGAATAAAATTGAAGTATCAAAATATTGCCCCAGTGACTGGTGGAAAAGAAATATGGGTATGTATTTGGTAGTGGAAAAAATGAGAGTTTTTAAGTAGCAATGTTCACATTTTTATTGAGTGCTATAAAATATACATTTGCAAATGGCAGAGTTGGGAAGCAAAAACTTGAACCTGATTTTTTAATCATAATTATCTGTCACTGAATTACTCACAACCAGGCTTCTGCAGATCTGGAATTTTCTTTCCACCAGATAGGAATATGTAGTGCAAATTCAGTTGATAACATTAAAAAGAAAAAAAAAAAAAAAGAATCAGCATAGTCAAGCTATGATAGTCTTCAGGATTTCTGGATTTCGTCCTTGGAGGAGGTCAGGATCTTCCCAAGGCCTGGGTCCTCGAATATTCTTCCAGTCATCAAAAGCAGAATCCTTTATTTTCTATGGAGCCACAAAAATTAAAGTATATAAGAGTCCTATGGCTTTGATTAGGACATCATTGAATGAATGAATGAATGAATGAATGAATGATGAATGAATAAATAAGTGAATGGAAAGAATCCAATAGGCCCTCAATTATAATGTTAGCAACAACAACAAAAAAAAATCATTGCATATAAAGCATAATAACTAAAGAAGTAACATATTTCTTGGGATTTGGAGTTTTTCTTACTTGCTATTTATGTAAATGCCTATCTTTTCCTCCATCAGAATAAATTATTCTATTAAATTGAAAAAGAAAGAATGCACATGCTTTATTTTTGAAAGCACAGAGAAAGGGAAGAAGCTAGGAACAACAACAACAAATCATTGCATATAAAGCATAATAACTAAAGAAGTAACATATTTCTTGGGATTTGGAATTTTTCTTACTTGCTATTTATGTAAATGCCTATCTTTTCCTCCATCAGAATAAATTATTCTATTAAATTGAAAAAGAAAGAATGCACATGCTTTATTTTTGAAAGCACAGAGAAAGGGAAGAAGCTAGGAAAACAAAAGTCTGACTGTGAAGGCTGGTCCAGCATAATAATGACTAGCATGGGTTAGCCTGAGTGATAGTAGTAATGAGAGAAAAAGAACAAAGGTGGAGAACCTGAAGTCTGCTGGAAGGAAAAAAAACAGTCCAAGATGATTTGTCCTGCACCTGAGAAATGAGCATGGGTTTAAGAATGAAAAGACATTCCTTATAGCTGCCATGAGCAAAGCTCTTTCAGGTAATAAAAACTAGTCAACTACAGTTGGATCACTGTACCTTCAGTTACTGTGAAGTGTCTCCCAGGAATAAAGGTAGGATAAAAGGGAAGAACATGAGTGTTTTTTTCACCTTCCTGCAGTAACTTTCATTCATCTGCTTTCATTGTTCTGGAATAATTTAGTGAATTAAATAGAAAAAGAGGCTCAGAGAACACAGACCACCTTATGTCCAGAGACAAGGAATAATATACATTTACCTTGACAACTGAATTCTAAGCTTTATTCTTTTACTAATGAGCTGTATAACCTTGGGCTATCTGGACACTAATTCCCTCATAAGTAATAATAAAAAGGTTAGACCAAATGATCTACATGGTTTCTTCAATTATCAAATTCTACCGTTTCTAAAAGAACTAAAATCTACTCCGAGACAAACCCTCCACAGCATCACTACTGACTTAGTGCTTATATATTGAGAAGTAGCAAGTTACAGGTTTTAACAAAATAAGAGGGAAGTAGTGAATGAAATCATTCTCTAAATTTCACTTATGGTTTCATCAGGAGTTTATATTAAATATAGATAGATAGATGAGCAAAATTTTATTAATTTAATGTGCAAGAAAAAAGTAAATTTTCAAGTATAGTTATGAAATGATCCATTTATAAAGTTTTAAGAAAGGATAATGGTCTTCACCCAGATAACATAAGACACACATGCTCAAGATAATTTAAGAATAATTCTTAGATGGGATGCAAAGTTGACAGAATAACTTCATGTAAAAGTGCTCCAGTCTTCAGAGATCTTTGGAGAATAGAAGATTTCCTATAGGATTCTGCAATACACACAGCATTACTGATTCTGCAAAACACGCAGTCACTGAAGTCTAGGCTGTACACGTCTGAGCAAGATCACCTAAGGCTCACTAGTTAATAGCCACGTGCTATAGAACTGACTGGGGAACAGAGTCAAGAAGTGTTGAGGAAAAGCGGTGTCAATATTGGATTTTCAGCCCTGTCCAAGTGGACTTAATACCTAGTTGCTACCTTGACATCCAGCTGAGACCCCAAAAAGGCTGCTCTTTAGGGGTAAGAATTATGCCAAGAGGAAGACCTACTTTAGACTCACCCAACAAAGCTTAAAACTAAGTAAGCTCTGACCTTTGGGGAGACAATTTGGAGAATGAGACCTACAAAGAGGGGTTTAGGAAACACCAAAGCTTTTCCACAGTTTCTCCCTTACAAAGCATAAACTAAGTTCCAAATGATCAGCCAATAATTAAACTGCCTGCTACAAATTTCTTCAATGTATTATTCACAATGTCCACCTTTCAATAAACAATGTCCAAACACACAAAAAAATGGAAAAATACAGGGGTGGGTAAAAGTAGGTTTATATAGTACAGATAAATAATACAATAATACATAAATAATATTAGAAGAATAAACTGTGTTTCACATACTTGCAACTGCAAAACTACTTTTGCCTACCCTTGTATAATCCAGCCAAAAAAATGAACAAACTAAAAGAGATAGAGAACATCCTCCCTCACATTCTATAATACAATGTGTTACTTATTAAACTCTTTGATTTTTGCTAATAAAATGGGTAGAAAGTGATGCCTCATTATAATTTTAACTAACATTCCTATTATAAGTTGAGCATCTCTTCATATGTTTAAGAAATATATTTATTTCCCTTCCTCTGAATCTATTTTTGTGTATATTTTTATTGATTTCAGAGAGGAAAGGAGAGGGATAAAGACAGAAATATCAATGATTACAGAGAATCATTGATCGGCTGCCTCCTGCACGCCCCCTACTGGGGATCAAGCCCACAAGCCAGGCAGGTGTCCTGACCGGGAATAGAACCGTTGACCTCCTGGTTCATAGGCTGACACTCAACCACTGAGCAACACCGGCCAGGCTCCTCTGAACCCTTTACATGCTTTGCCCATGTTCCCACTGACCAACTGAATGACTGAACTTTTCCACATTGATTTGCAAATGTTCTTCATATTTCAATAAGTTAATTCATCATAGGATAAATAATATTTTTAGGATTTCTCACTTAACTAGTGACTTTATATACATTATTTGTTTTTAGGCTGAAGTTTTACATTTTTAAGTATGAACTAACTCATCATCTTTACTTTTAAAGCTTCTGGGTTTGGTATCACATTATTTTAAATAGGCTTTTCTGATTCAAGACCACAAAAAAGAATATTCATTTTTTTCCTCCTAGTACCTTTAGCATTTTGTTCTTTATTATTTTTCTGTTAATCCTCACCTAAAGATATTTTTTCCATTGATTTTTAGAGAGAATGGAAGGGAGGGAGGAAAGGAAAGAGGGAGAGAAACATGGATATGAGAGAGAGACATCAATTGGTTGCCTTCTGCACGCACCCTGACAGGAGCGGGGGATCGAACCTGCAACCCAGGTACATAGCCTTAACCGGGAATCAAACCCATGACTCTTCAGTGTTTGGCCAAAAGTCTAACCACTGAGTAACACCACCCAGGGCTTATTTTTAAATACTTGATCCATCTAAAATTTATTCATTTATAGTATATGAAATATAGATCCATCTTTGTTTTGTTTTCAAATGACTACACAGTTGTCCCAATACCATATACTTAAGATAAAAAATTTTTTCCTGGCTGATTGGCTCAGTGGTTGAGCATCGGCCTATGAACCAGGAGGTCACAGTTGGATTGCCAATCAGGGCACATCCCTGGCTTGTGAGCTTGATCCCCAGTGTGGGGCATACAGGAGCAACCTATCAATGATTCTGTCTCATGACTAATGTTTCTATCTCTCTCTCCCTCTCCTTTCCTCTCTGAAATCAATAAAAATAAATTTTTTTTAAAAAGATAAACAATTTTTTCTGCACTGCTAATAATTTAAGTTTACCTTAAGGCAGACAGAACCAGTCACTAACAAAGAAGATTATTAAAGAAAGACTATATTAACACTGTACCTCATACTCTGATTCCAGTGATACTTGATTCATTTTCAGTTTTTTTTCTAATTCAGGATCAATCTGTAAAAAAGAAAGACGAGCCATATGTTAAGTCTGTAGAATTAATTTTTAATTTGAAGTTATATAAGGGATGGCTAGGATGGCATGGCAGATTACAAACACATGGCAAAATCTCCACCATCCATCCATCCATCCATCCATCCATTCATCCATCCATCCATCCAATTGCATAACAGTAACGATGTAGTAGTACCACTACCACTACTAACAGCAGCTAATACTTACTGAGTACTTGTTATGTGCCAAGCATTTTGGCACATACAATATTATCTCTTTTAATCCTCACAAAAACCTTAGATAAGTATTATTGTTATGATCACAAGTAAGGATAATAGGACACAGGGAGTTTGAATAATTTGTCAGAGGCAGAACCTGACTCTGAACCTTGGCCCTCTGCCTCCAGAGGTCCATGCTATTAACCACCACCCTAAATTATTACTTAGAAATGTTATAAAAATACTAATAAATAGAATGCTGCTCTTAAAAACAAAACAAAACACCTTACATATGCTGTAAACAAAGAAGTATCTATGAAAAAATTAGACAGGATTCCACAGTAGTAAATAGGAGTTGATGCCATATTACCTGTGTATGGCAAAATCTTTGGGATAGCTGAATGTTACTGAACACAGCTTAAGATCAATTAGTACTAGAAATACAACCTGAGGATTACACTAGACTTCGAAGAATTTAACTATTTCCCCATCACAGCAGGATCGAAATCAGCCATTCAAAGCAATTGAAACACAGAACCAGGAAGAAACTTTAGTAGTTTGGGGGGCCCATAGGTTTACCACTTCTTCAATGGCAAGACTCAAATGGCTTGTCAGTTGACTAAAATATTCCATCCTGTGAGGACAGGCTTGGTAGGATGAGGGTTTCTGGAAGCATACAGAGGTTTAGTCTAGTCATCAAGGGTTGTGTTCCCATATGTTTTTTAAAATATATTTTTATTGATTTCAGAGAGGAAGGGAGAGGGAGCGATAGAAGCATCAGTGATGAGAGAGAATCATTGAACGATTGCCTCCTGGGGATCGAATCCGCAACCCAGGCATGTGCCCTGACCAGGAATCGAACCATGACCTCCTGGTTCATAGGTCAACGCTCAACCATTGAGCCATGCTAGCCCAACTAGCTTTCTTTTTCAGTGATGTCTGGATCATACTGGCATTGGTTATTATTATTTTTCTCATTTCCATTATCTGAATCTTAGAAAACATGGTCACAGTATTTATAATGTTAAAAATTAAACTAGCACTTTTTTCTTACAAAGTACAACAAACAAAGCCAAAAAAAAAAAAAAAAAAAACTGGTAATGCTCAGGATTACAACACACTTATATCATATTACTTGGCGTGATGCAACAATGGATGATCTATTATTGTGAATCCATGCTTGTCAGCATTAGGAGTCAGGAGATAAAAGAGCAATGGCCACTAAGGAAGGCAGATAAACTATGTCATATCTATTTCACAATAAAAATTGACAGCTATTGCTTTCAGCTTATATTCTTAGCCCATCTCATGGTTTCTATTTTTTCTTTTCCAGTTAACCATTTGCCTGCCATAAGCGTCTATAGACCAACTTTAAAATCATTTTTCGTGAAAATTTTCAACCGAAAATATTCAAGACCACCCGAATTGTAATATATTTATTTTTATAATATTCATTGCAAATTGATTTTTTTAAATTAAATTCAAAATATCATGGTGTGTGGGAATGGTTTCCGTTTTGGACATGTCGCAGTTAACTGGTTAAAACAATTTATTTTTAATTATAGTTTACACACCTATTGGTTTCTGCTTTACAACACAGTGATTCCAACATTCATATACCTTTCAAAGTGATCACCACAATAAGTCTAGTAACCATCTGTCACCATACATAGTTACTACGATATTATTATGATCTCATGGCTAGATGGGCCGACATTCTAAAGTTGTAGAAAACTCTGTTCCCTATGCTGTACATCACATCCGGGTGTCCTCTCATTGCTTCTTTTCTTCCCTTTCAACCTTCTATACACATCACTGAAAAGCAGGAACTTTTATGTCCGGGGATGCTGGACTTTCAATCCTAAAATCAGGACAGTTCCAGGCAAACTAACATGGCTGATTACCCTGAAACAATACCATCTTTATCTATCCATCCCCAAACTTCTCTACTGAACTTATCCTCTCTTGCTTCATCTCAACCACATATGTCCTCTCAACCCCACTTTTTACCCCCCTTGACTTTAACCTCAGCAAACTCGCCCTCTTGACTCCCCCTTGATCTCAACCCTTGTAGCACCTGTCAATCTCAACCAATCTTATCCTCTCAAATTTAGTCCACCTCATCCTCTCTACCCTGTTTGAACACAACCTCACCCAATGACTCTTGACTTCACCTCAGTTTGACTTCTCATCATCAACCTCTCAATCTCAGTAGGTCTTGCCCTCTGATCCTTCTCACCTGAACTCTGTCCTCCCCCCTCCTTCCAGACCTTGACCAACCATACCTCCCATCCTGTACTCTTGTTGTTCTCTTAACTTCAACCAACCTTGTCTCTCACTTCAATCAACCTTTTTCTCTCAACTGTACCTAACTTTGTTCTCTTTACTTTAACCTTATCTTCTAGACCCCATTATCCCAATCTCCCTCATTCTCTTTCCTTAACTAAGTGATTACCACCACCATTTATCCAATCCTCAAAACCAAAACCTCAAGTCATCTGAGATTTATTCATATTTTTATATTATGTACATCAACCACATCAGTCACTAAATACTATCAATTTGCTGCTAAACTTTTTTCTGGAACCCTTTTATTTCTCTCTATCTTCATTGCACGTTTTATTTCAGGTTCCATTACTGTTCATCTATACTACTGCCAAAGCAACTTCACCTCCAATTGAAATAATCTCTTCCTTCCATCTTGCTCCCCCAAACACCATCATCCATCCTGTCCTCTTCTTACAGGAGAGATATTTCTAAGATGAAAATCTGATCATATGCCTAATACTCCCTCCCCTCTGTGTTATAGAACAATAATCATTTCCACCATTTAGCTCTTACTCATTCTCAAAACTTTAATTCAAAGGTTGATACCTCTAGGAAACCTTCTTGAATACCCTTCCCAAGTCTAAACTGAAGTTCTAGTAATGTTTTATGCAAAATTCTAATATAGCATTTTTCTGAGTATATATATATATATATATATATATATATATATGCCTAATATGCTAATTGTCCCTCCGACTGTTCGACCAGTTGCTATGACGCGCACTGACTACCAGGGGGCAGACTCTCTAACCAGTAGGTTAGCTTGCTGCTGGGGTCCAGCTGATCGGGACTAGGCGAGACGGACCGGACATGCCCTGGAGTCCTTCCGCGGTCCCTCCCTGGCCGACCAACCTCCTGCAGTCCCTCCCCGGCTGCCCAGCCCAATCACCCCGATCAAGACTGGGTGAGACAGGCCGAACACACCCTGGAACCCCCCACGGTCCCTCCCTGGCCCCAATCATGGATCAGTGGGGTCCCTCGGCCTGGCCTGCGCCCTCTCGCAATCTGGGACCCCTCGGGGGATGTCGGTTTCAGCCTGATCCCCACAGGCCTGGCCGAGAGACCCCACTGGTGCACAAACCCACACACCAGGCCTCTAGTTGTTATACGTTTGGGTATGTATTTATATTTAGATGTCTTCCAATCTTGATTATGCTATAAGCTTTGTAAGAACCAGTTTCTTAAATCTTTATCTATAGGATCTAACACATAATAATATGACAAATATTCAATTATTTTTCAAATATGTACATGTCTGCCCTGGCCAATGTTGTTAAGTGTTTATAGCGTTGGCCCAAGCACAGAAGGGCTATGGATTCAATCCCCAGCCCTGGTCAGGGCGCATTCAGGAGACAACCACTGGATATGTCTCTCTCATATAGATGTTTCTGTTTCTCTCTCTCTCTCTCTCTCTCGCTCTCGCTCTCTCTCTCTCTCTCTCTCTCTCTCTCTCTCCCCTCTCTCTCCCTCCTTCCTCTCTCCCTAAAAAATCAATGGGTAAAAAAATATATATATCCTCGGGTGAGAATTAACAACAACAACAAAAAAGTGTACATGTCATTCCACTTCCAAAAGTCAGATTATTATAACTTTCATCTTAAAGCAAAAGGGGAAAAAATTCCTCAATAAAATAATGGGGAATGCTAATAGAAACTTTTTAATTTAGTTGATGATAATCGCTCTATTCCCTTACAGAAACCATTATACCATATTCTTTTAAAATGAATGTAATATTTATTCAAAACCTATTGTCTTTAAGATTAGCTAGAGTTGGTGTTTCTTTTAAACCATAAAATTAACTGAAAACATTGAATACTCTTTATTTTTGCACCCCTATTACTGAGGTCTGCTAATGAAATATATATATTACTTGGAAAAAACCCTCCAATATCAGATGTGTGGCACAAACAAAAACTACCTACTTATCAATCAACCAGAGTTCTTATGTAACACTTGGCTTAAATTTGACAGTACTTGTGTAATCACAGAGGGTGAGAATACTAGCTCTACCCCCAACAGCCACGTGACCTTAAACAAGTTACTTAAGCTCTCTGAGCTTCAGTGTCCTCACCTGTAAAATAAAAACCATATACATATGAACCAGTACAGTCCTTCCACAAAGGCATACCTATAAAAAGATAGGTATAACTAACTATTTATTATGAAAAATACTTTTTTTAGTATTAGTTACTAATGATGCATAACAATATAATGTATAAAATTACTGGTATTAATATGAAATATCTAATTTATAACTAAAGTAATAAAATGGAGTGAAGTTGTTGTCCCATGTTCTTTAGTCCCTTCTAAATCCTTAAAACAACTATATCAGAGCACGTTGTGGCAGAAAGCTAACAACATTGCAAATTTTCTAGTGAATGAGAAAAATGAGTAAATTCTTCACATTTCATAATTCATTTCCAAGTGATTATTAATGTTATTTTAAAGAATAAGCAAGAGTCCAATCATTATATATCAGTCTTGAACAGCTAGATAAAACTCAGACTGCTTAGTATACTGAGTATACACATCTCCTAAACAAGTACATGCATATACACAGACACATGTCAATCCCAAATACAGTTCTTACTTTAATCTTCACAGCATCATAACGGATTTGTGAAAACTCACGAAGACCAAAAGAACCTCCAACAACCAACAACTGAAACAAAGAAAGGAAACAATTAAACAAAATAGAAGGGCAAAATTCAGTCTACCTGTAGATTACTTACCTAAATGCCAATAGTGACAGATTATACAAGTCCTATAGATTATTTTTCCAGATGCTTTATGTACTGTCACTGGGAAACATTTTAGCACATTACCAAATACCAAAATCAGTACCCCATACCTGTACAGTACTTAACCTTATCCTATCTAATAATAGACAAATAGGGTAATTAACCATACCTCCGCTACGCTTCCCATTGGCTAATCAGGGCGATATGCAAATTAACCGCCAACCAAGATGGCGGCCGGCAGCCACGCAGCTGAAACGAACATGAGGCTTGCTTGCTCCAGTGATGGAGGAAGCCAAGGTTCCCTGCCTGCCG